CCTTTGCTCCACATCTGAGAAGGTTTTCTTCCACTCCGTTTGATTCCTCTCCAGACCTCATGCCTTATGCACTGGGTGTTCCCCTTGGTGCTTTGCTAGTGGAGAGGTCTCCTGGCACAACATGGCGGGCCGTCTGTCCTCTCACAGGGAGAAGCCAGGACTCTGGGCTCATCCGTTTGAGTGTGTCCCACAGCAAGGGCTCCAAGGCAGATGGACTTGTTGTAACCCCCCTCATGATCAGGCATGATCATACACGTAGCCAGGGCACAGCTCATCACGAGTTAGAGGCATGGTCAGAGTGTTCTTGTTCTCATGAGGACAAGAACACGAACACGGATGTGCATGCTATGCTAAACTGACAACAAAGCAGGCTTCGCTCCAGCATTACCAGTACCACCACAGACATTATGCCCTTTTACCCACGCTTGCTTGCTTTTGCATGATAAATGGGCAAAATGTGCTCTCCCCTATTGTTTTTCTGTTGTTCTCCCATTGTTTCTCTGTTGCTCCCCTATTGTTTGCTGTCATTCAAGCATAAGTGTGAAAGAGTATAAAAATCAAATGTCTCTCCTCTGCCTGCTACCACACTCTCACGAGTGCATGGTCCCTGCCGGCAGGTAAAATAAATCCCTCTCGATAATTCCAACTAGTCTCTGGTCTCGTCCATAATATCGCGCCATACAACACTTGGAGGCCCCAGTGAGATCCCCGAGACTGTCGGTCCTGCGTCCTCCCGATCCCGGGGACGGGCCCACTGGCATCTTATGCCTCTGCCCTGGCTCGGTGGGACGTCTGACTAGGCGAGAGAGGAATTACCGGTAAGTGCGCACGGCAGTTACCCGCCATTAGTATCTGCAGATCTGGTATTGGAAAGAAAAGCCTGCTGGACGCAGCAAGGGCTACTTTCCGGTCTGAAGCGAGACGTCGCTTCCGGCCTCATTTCCTGTACGTCTGTTCAGATTGTCCGTCGTTTCTTTTATTGTCTTGAGTAACCCTTTTTTTTACAGGACGGGAAAATGGGGCAAGGCCAGTCCATCGCGACCACCTCTTTGCAATGACTTCTGAATAACTTTTCTGATTTCTTTGAGAGGGCTTCAGGATTCGGGGTCTTGGTTAAGCCAGGGACCCTCCGGACCCTTTGTGAATTAGAGTGGACCTCCTTTGGCGTGGGATGGCTCTCAGAAGGCTCTCCTGATTAGGAATGTGGAGGCTGTGATCCTTGGGAATCCTGGACACCCAGATCAAATTCCATATATAGAAACGTGGCTGGACATCGCCAGAACAAAACCCAGTTACCTTAAACAGTGTCAACGGAAACTCCCAGGATCATGGTGTCCGTCTCTCCTTATAGTTAAAAAGGGTGAAGAACCCCACGACAGATCGCCCCTCGCCCCATCCACGAAGCCCCACATCCTCACGGATGATCAAATGGGGCTGGAGGACGCGCTAGACACAAGGACTCGGCCACCTCCTTATGCCCCGAATTCCCCGGCTTCCGGGAGC